AAAGATTGTGAATAAGTTAGGAGCGAGAATGCAGCCTTGTTTCACACCATTCTTAATTAAAAAGGGCTCAGAAAGTGTGTTGCCATACCTGACTTGGCCGTGCTGATCCTCATGAAGTGAGATGATCATTTTCAGGAACTTGGGGGGACAACCTAAACGTTCCAAAATCTGCCACAGACTTTTTCTGCTCACAGTATCAAAAGCCTTGGTGAGGTCAACAAAGGTTACATAAAGACCTTTGTTCTGTTCCCTACACTTCTCTTGCAGTTGTCTGAGAACAAATACCATGTCTGTGGTGCTCCTGTTGGCTCTGAAACCACACTGACTTTAGGTAGGATCCCTTCTGCTATAGTGGGTATTAGTCTGTTCAAGAGTATTCTTGCCAGGATTTTGCCAGCAATGGAGAGCAGAGTAATACCACGGTAGTTTGAGCAGTCAGATTTAATACCTTTCTTCTTATACATCGTGATGATGACTGCATCTCGAAGGTCTGATGGTAGTTCACCGAGTTCCCAACAGCGCACCACAAACTCGTGAAATTTGGTGTGTAGTGCAAGGCCCCCATGTTTCCAGACTTCGGGTGGAGTTCCATCAACCCCCGCTGCCTTGCCAATTTTTACCTGCTGTATGGCCTTGAGGGTTTCTCCTAAAGTGGGGGCAGTATCCAATTCATACTTTACTGGTTGTTGTGTGATGGACTGAATTGCTGAGTCTTGGACCAAAGGTGTTATTTTTATAATCCGTGTATATAGATACATGTGCTTTTATTTGTGGAAAAGGGCAGTATTTCACCAGGGAGAACCTGCGTTAAACTTTGATTGTATTTTGCACTTACTGAGTTTGTAGCATTAACGGTTGGGGATATTGTAGAACTCACATTTGACAACAGGAACAGCAGTAACAGGAGACTTCAGGTATTTGTAGAGGAGATTTTTGGGGCCTGTTTCTTGGTTTTGGGAACACAAAGGCTGATGCTTGGCAGGGATAGAATATTGTTATTGTTGTGTAGGTCACATTTTTATGAACTGATGGATGTCCTGCAGCAAACAGGGCTGATGTGCAAATGTGTGTGTCAGTGTGTTCTGGAACTTGGTTGTGTAACTGTCTGATGGGATCTGTGAGAACTAAGAGTTGGTGTTTAGAAATGATCTCATACCTGAAGAACAACAGAGCATATCTGAAATCCCATGGGAATTTTCAGTGTAGAGGGTCAAAACCACAGATATTGCACAGTCTGTTCCAATGAAGGCAAGACCAGTCTGATGATGATGAGGGGACTGAGCCTGTGAGACCCAAGACTTGTGTTCCTAATGTTAAATCCTGAAATGTCTAAAGCTGCAACTTTTAACTGACCTGCTCTTCAAAAAATAGCAAAATTAAAGATTAAAATTAAACCCCACAGTGTCAGGAGCAGATCTTGGTTGACCTGCATGTTCCATGCTAAATACAAAATTGAACACTTCAGTCATAATAGTCTGCACCTTTCCTGGATTGCCCTGATGTTGTTTGTGTTGAACAGGTATTACAATAAAAGCAGTTTTACCTGTCCCTTGTTTACTTTTCTGAGCTCTTTGGAGCTGCCTTTTCTTGTAAGAGCAATATATGGTTATCATTGTTTGTCTGGTGGTAATTTCTCAAGGGATTTGTGTACAGGATGGGGCCTGAATTTCTTGGGTGGTTTGCACAGGTTCTTTGATAACACATTCCCTGGTGATACTTGAAAGTTTTTTATAAAATGTCTTTTGTAGCATATGCTGTCATCTGTAATGCTTGTTTGTTTTTTTTCATTCAGGGATGGGACTTGTGTAATACAGTCTAATGCTTGGTCCTTAGGATTTCTTTATTCTTTTTAATTTTAATTTCTTAAAATTTCTTTATTCTTTTTTATTTTAATTTCTTAAGATTTCTTTATTATTTTTAATTTTAAATTATTAGGATTTCTTTATTTATTTTTATTTTAATTTATTAGGATTTATTTATTCTTTTTAATTTTAATTCAAGTGTTTTAATATCCCATTTTCCCTGCAGATGTGTGGAGCAATTGATTTGCTCACTGTAAGCAAAATAGTTGTTCTTGGTTGAAGGGCTTGGTAAGTCGTTCTTCCTTAATAACATTTACTTTTTAGCTTTTTAAAAAAAGACCTTCACAAAGGTCTGGCTTTGCACAAAATGATATGTAAAGCCAGGATGGTTTTCTGCTTGTTTGGTTTTATTTCTTTTTAAATTAAACTGCTAGCTGATAGACTTCAAATCATTCCTCATATAGTCCAAAAAACACAACATTGGCAGGTTTGAGTAGAAAAATTAAAATGAAAATTAATAATTAAAAAATTATTTGTCTCGACTGGATGAATACGGGAACAGACTCTCTTCCAGTTTTCTTTAACTAAAAGGAATTTGGCCTTGACCTTTTGTCATCCCTGGCACGTTTTGTGACTTTTCTTGGGAGTTGCCTGTGGACAGACACAGGTCCTTTTTTGTCTTTCTGGCTGCTTAAAATTGAAAAACACCTTGATTCTGCCTTTCTAATGAGGGCATCCATTGCATTTTGTGTACATGGATTAACTTTTTTGTGCGAAGCTGTATTCCTGTAGCACTGTGCTTTGGAACATATACATTTCTTTAAAAGAAGCAGTTTCTTAGAGCCAGTTCTTTCAGTCTGACCAGTTTTATCACTGAGTTCAGTCCTGAAGCAAAAAAGTGGAATTCATGAATTGGAGGAATTCAGTTTTTAATGCGTGTCCATGAGCTTAGTGCTGATGCTTTTTGGCAAGTATTTAATCTCTTCTGCTCCTGGGCTCTGTGAGTTTTATTACTTTGTTCCTTCAGAAGTTTTAAACTGTTTTTCCCACTGCAGGTCTGTGTAGAACAGCAGATTTCTTGCCATGTTTCTCCTTCCAGCTCTTCCTCAAAACTCTTCCTGTACCATCCACTGACGCCTTTCTAGCCCCCAATCATCTGCTCGAATCTCTAAAACATGTGACTCATGTTCCATTTTTATATTCATCTTCTCGTGACTCCCGAATCTTTCTGTGTGCATTTTTGTTTGTTTTCTCATTGGGTTGTAAATGAGCTGTTGTCACATCTGGTTTCTTGGGTAGGACTTTGGCCTTTCAGTTACACACCGAGTAATTCTTCCCTCCTTTTCTGGTTTATAATCCTTACCTAAAGGAAGGGGCTGAATGTGAAAGCCTTAATTTACTTAGTGAAACAGTTGTCTACAAAAGAAGTTGCTTCAAAAAGCAATTGCAAAAGCATCCAAATGTGTGGTTCTTGAAAGATCTAGTATTGCCCTCTCTGGTTAGGGTAGATAATGTTTAGTTGAAGCACCGATTTTTATTTTCAATTTTTTTAAGAGAAGAGGGAAAATACTTCAAAACACTTTATTGAAGCTTTATTGAAGTTGACATACTTTGCTTAACGCAATAAAGTTTATTATTGCAAAATAACACCCAAAAAGAGTGTATCTGTGAATAAAGTCACATCTTACCGGGAATTCCTCTCTAAATCTGAGAAACCTGGCAAACAGCTTTAGCTAAAAATACCCAAACCTACATGAGTTGTGCTTTGACTGCTGTGCTTACAGAACATCTGATGGTGGTAAAAGCAGATTTAGGGCTGTCCAGAGCACTCATGTTCTGTGCAGTCTCTGACAGGAACTCATGATGGACTTTGCTGGCCAGAAAGGACACGTCTGCTCTTTCCTGCAGTGTCAAAGTTACCAGGGATGTGTCTTTGAGACTAAAACCTTGCTTTAATGGACTTTGCGACGTAGACCTTGAGGTTTGGTTTGTTCACAGCCTCATTTTGTCCATTCAGCTCCCTCTGTTGGAGGCAATTCCGTTTCCAGGGGAGGTCACCTCAGTTTTTAAGTTGAAGCCTCAGATTTCACTATGGAAAACTTGATCAGTGTGTTGGTGTCTCATGCGTGGGTGTTGTACGTGTTGGATTTCAGTCTCCCACTTGAGGAACAGAAGGTTTCAATAGACCTCAAGTGGCTGAAGTCCTGAGTTTGGCCATCAGGCATTGTCTTCATTGCTGTGGTCTTTTAACAGAGCAACAGAGAATTGCAGCAAAAAACTGAAGAGAAAAACTTTGTAAATTTTGTTTCAGAATTGTTGCCTTGAACCTTTGGTCGAGGTTGGGAATGGTTTGTCTCCCTTGGTAGGGAGTGTCAGTAGTCTCTGTCATTCATTTTCTCATGACCAAAATACTGTGCTTGGAAACCAAACCAGGAGTTGGTAGATAACAGCAGCTTGAAAAATGGGCTGATGCCTAATTGATGTGACAGAAGGAATGAAAGACTCGTGACAGCTAAGAAAAAAATTGGGCTTCTCAGTGTCCACCTCAGGTTAGGATGACTGCATGTGTCTTAGTGGAGGAAGATGTTTTTGTAACTTTATTGAAACTTGTTAGTAAAATGTGCCTTAATTCCTAAGGAAACAACCACTGTGAAATCTTTTAAACCAAATGTAGATTTCCAAAGTGTAGAAGTTGCTATTAATATTTTGGTCGTTCCTGTGGCATCTTTTTGATGCATGAATGACTTTGAGAACAAGAACGTGTTCTTAATTATAACACATTATCAGGTCTGTTTACTGCTAATTATTTTACAAGGTTGAGAGAAGAGTTTAAGATGAAAGTTGTGGGGTTACTTGCAAAGTTTCTGGTACAACCAATGCAGTTGAACCTGGTGGAGAAATTTGCCCTTAAATTGGTTTTGGTAGATCTCATGAGTGTCTAAGGCAGAGACCAACCCAACTGGAAAGAGCCTTTCAAGAGTGACTAAGATGTAACTAAATTACCTTTTTGAGAGGTGGGAAAAGCTGATGTCAGGAATTAAATTTCCTTATGTTAAGTTTATAAAAAATATATTAATATGTAAATATTAAAATTATTTTAATGGTCTTATTTATGGGTTTTTCACTGTGCTTATGTTAGTACTTCTGTTTGATTGTGACAATAATGGACAGTTTCGTAGTGTTTTGGGGTTTTTTTTGTATTTTTCGTGTTTTGATACCTTGGTCAAGGCATTAACAATAAAAATCATTCAAAATTTTAATTCATCTTCAAACACCGAAATAGATTTGAAATGAGGTTAATGAGAACAGTGGGGGGAAAAAAACCACCCAAGTCCAAAACCAAAACAACCCCAAAAACTGTTTCTTTTTTTCCATTGTATTTTAAAGAAAGAAGTCTGTAGAGCAGCAGAAAACAGGACACATGGGCAGGTGTGAAAGTCAGACTAGGGCTTGTTAAACTGGTTCCAGTGCTCTTTGCTTCAGTGTAACTGGTCATTTTGAGATGAGACTGGGGAAACTGGGCTGCCAGGGCAGAGACCACTGGCTGGCCCCAATGGTTTTTGCTGGGCAGTGGGTAATTTCTGCCTCACTTGTCAGAATCAGCCCACGGTTATCAGGGAATTGGGTAGTGGTGAATTTGGCTTTCAGACTAAAATGAGGTTAAACTTACACATATTCAAAAGAATAAATTGATGTTGGAGTGCAGATACTCAAAATCCTGAAGACCTTTTGAAACCTTTTTTGCCTGTCAGTCCTACAGCCGAAGCTCTTCCCACAGTGGGGGCCCTCACAGGGCTTCCCTTACCGGTGGGTCCGTTGGTGTTTGTTCAAATTAGACCTCTGGGTGAAGCTCTTCCCACACTGCCCACACTTGTAGGGTCTCTCCCCAGTGTGGATACGCTGGTGAATGACAAGGTGGGAGTTCCGGTTGAAGCCCTTCCCGCAGTCGGTGCAGCAGAAGGGTCTCTCATCCGTGTGCGTTCGCTGGTGCTTCAGGAGATGTGAGCTGGTCTGAAACCTTTTCCCACATTGCAAGCACCTGTAGGGCCGTTCCCCAGTGTGGATGCGCTGGTGGGTGCAGAGGGTGGAGCTGTCCCTGAAGCTCTTCCCACATTCCCCACATGTGTAGGGCCGTTTCCCACTGTGGATGTGCTGGTGTCGGATCAGGCTGGATCTCTGCCTGAAGCTCTTCCCACATTCCCTACACATGTAGGGACGTTCCCCACTGTGGATGTGCTGGTGGGTGAGGAGGTTGAAGCTCTTCCTGAAGCTCTTCCCACATTCCAAGCACCTGAAGGGCTTCTCCCTGCTGGGAGGCTGCTCAGGAATCACCCAGTCAGAGCTCTGCCTCAAACCCCAGCCACCTTCCTGGCACAGGCTGGGTCTTTCCTCCTCAGAGCACCCTGGGATGGCTTTGGAGCCCCTCCTGCGGGGGGATCTCCGGCCCTTTTCCTCCCCGCTGCCTTCCTGTGCCGGGGAGCCCTTCAAAACGGCCTCTCCCACCAGGGTCTCACGGGGGGATTTGTCCTCCGGGCTCTCTGTCCTCAGCTCGGGGCCTGGGGCAGGAAGCAAGGACAGGCAGGGGATTTGCCTCCAGCCCACAGGGAAGGCCAAGGACATCCCCCCAACTCTGGCCCTGGCAGGACGGCGGCGGCAGCGGGGTTGTCCTGCAGCCGGGGCCATGCTCGGCTGACAGAGCCAGCACAACACCCGCCCAAAGGGCCACTGACTTCCTCCTCACCTGCCTGGGGGGCCCAAGGCATCTTCCTCGCAGCCTCCTCCTCCATCCGCCCAAGCTTTGGGAAGGACAAATCCTGATGGGGGGAAAACAAGGGCTGAGCGCGTTGGCTTGGGAGTTCCTCCTGCCCAAGTCCATCTCTAGAACTCACCGGGCATCCTTTGTCCATAAAAACCTCCAAAACACCAAGATTCAGCCCAGAAAAACCCAAACCACCAAGATTGAGGCAAAAACCTCATCAGAAATAGCAAGACGACTTTTGCCCCCCCAAACTGCAAAAAGTTGAGATAAAGTCAAAAAATACTCCAAAATATGAAGATTAGCCCAAAACATCTCTTCCAGAAGTTCCCCCTCTCTGGTGTCTCCCCTCTGGGGTACAGAGGGTGTCCCCTCTCTGGGATGCTAGGAGTTTCA